GGGACTTGTATCTTGCCCCGAGTTTTGAATCCATGTTGAAATAAATTAGAAAAATTAGATACCAAGATATCTTACAATAGGAGGTAAACTATTCTGAAAAACTGTAAAAATACCTCGAAAAAAAAATTAAAACAATGTTATTAGCATTAGCTGACCTAAATTTGCATAAAACACAAACATCTGGTTCTTATAAGTTTACCAAATGATGAAAAAAAAATTAAACAGTGTTATTCTAGGTTAGGTTTAGAATGTCTTTGAAGGTCACTCCCGGACCTCCATCCTATCCTATGGCTTATTGTTAGAGAGCCGAGCGGTCGGATCCGTATCCTCTAGGATAGGGAGCCGAGCGCTCGGACCCCTATACACAGCCATTTTGTTAAACCAGAAATGACAAAAAATAAATAAATAAGGAATCAAAGATTAGGGCCAGCTGAAATCCACAAGAAGAATATAGATCACCAAGGGCCCCGAAAACTAGTAGTGAGCTTCGATGTAGCCAACAGTAGACCTAATGAAGCAACTCTTTACCCCATAGATTACTAATCTGTTTGCACATTTCCTGATAACCATTTATTTTCAATTCGATCGGGTCGGACCAACAAATTGATGAGTTTGCCATGGGAAATCCGTGAACTCCTGCGGTCGCCAACCATTTCGCGAAGAATTTTGAACGAATTTAACTTAGAATTCGCTACAGAGGAAGCAAATAGCTTGACATGATTTTTATTGGGTTTTGATATTTTCAACCCTTCAGCCTCTAACCTACTGATTTCAAAACCAATTTCAGTAATTTCAGGCAGTACCTACTTTAGAAGACCCTTTCTAGTCCCTGTATATGGTAGTAGTACGTAGTAGAATATGGTAGTCCCAAATTCTCGGGAAGAAGGATAAAATCTTATTTATATTGCGTTTTTTTTATATATTTTCAACTCTTTATCCCTTATCGATTCGAGGCAGTACTTTAGAACACCCTATAAAGTCGTTGCAAAAATATCGTAGCAAAATCGTAGTTCAACGTTCAACCTCAATTTTCCTGAATTTTTTGATATTTTCTACCCTATAGGTGATAAACGTACAAGGTACCAACTTCATAAAAAATACAACTTAAAACAAATCAAATCAAATCAAAATTTGCTTTATTATCGCAGATATACAATCCTATTGACAAAGCTAAACTTAAATCTATAAACACCGCAATGAAAAGCCTTAAAACTAGTTATATGAGGACAATAAAATAAAATTTAATTAAAAAAAATATAACACTTGCACACACTTAAAAAACAAACTGATTAAAATATAAATACACAGTCAACATTGAACTAGAGAGCAAAAAATCAGTCATAAAAACAAAAATTAAACAATAAAACCGGAAAACAACCAAGCAGTGACCCAAGGTAGTGACTCACTAGAAATTTTCCAGAAAAAATTCCTCAATGTCACAATCAATAATGCCTTTAGGCTTTTACGAAAAATCCTCATCATTATTTATTTGTCTAAGGGAAAGTGGTATAATAATGATTGAAATTTTTTTTACCATTGTAAATTAGCGACTTTTTGGTCTGTGCACTGTTAGGTATAGGCAAGGTAAGCGAATGGGAAAGACGAAAACTGCGTTCTGAGAGTGCAGCAACACCCTGCCTCTGCTAATACTTCTTCTGCACAAGAAAAGCAGCTTCCAATATAAAAATACTTGGCAAGGTCAAAATTCCCTCAGACAGAAATGAAGGCCGACATGAGTCTCTAACTTTTGCTCGGCATATGTATCTCACTGCCCTCTTCTGCAAAATAAATACGCTATTAAAGAGCCGCTTAGAGCAAACACCCCAAAAGCACACACCATATCGCAAATGGGACTCGATCAAGGCGAAGTGAGATTTATGTGCCATCGACCTATCAAGTTGGGCACTAATAGTTCTAAGTGCATAACAGCCCGATTCCAACTTCCTATTGAGAGCTTCAACATGGGCCTCAAACTTCAATCTGTCATCAATGTTTATACCCAGAAATTTGTTTTCATTCAAATTGGTAAAATTAGAATTATTAAGTGAAATACCCTGTAAATTACATTTAAATGACATTATGCATGTTTTTTTAACATTTAATGAAAGATTATTTGAGTCAAACCATTCCTTCACAGCTTCACATGAAGCAAGTCATTATTTATAAGATCACTCAAAACATTTTCATTTTTTACATGCCATAAGATCAGTGGCGTAGCCAGTAGGGGGGCAGGGGGGCGACGCCCCCACACGTATGGCACCCCTACCGCTCTTGAAAAATAAAAGCAAAAAATAAGAAATTATAAAATTATGCTGTTTCTTATTTATTTTATTGACCTCTTCACTCTTTCAACGGCATGTCTACACCAGAGCCGTAGCGCCCGTAGCCAGGGGGCGCATTGGGGGGAAATCCCACAATTCAAATGATGATGCCCTACTTTTGAAACAAAATATCCGTTCAGTTTTCTCTAGTAAATTTAAGAGGAGATAATGAATAGGCCTGAAAGTTGTTAGGTGCGGGTATTAAAAGTAGTACAAGAGATTCCTCAAAAATTTTTGCCCATGGGCGGTATTTTGTTTACCTCCCAGAGATTTTATTTATTGAAAAATTTGCCTTCGGCGCCATTACCCCTATTTTGTTTACCTATAAAAAATTTAAGACGGGGGGGGGGGGGGGGGGGGGGGGCAACCAGTGTATGTCCTATATGAAATTTGTCATGCCCTATCACACATTTGACTCTAGCTACAGGCCTGGTCCACACATTATTTCTTGTAAGGCTTAAAATGCATAAATGTATGTTTTTCGACCTGGTACCCGAAAAAAAAAATGTTTTTTAAGGTTTCAATAAAATTTTTTGAGCGTGGCACTCGAGAAAATTTTTCGCCTCCGGCGGCGCCCTCTACGGGCATTTTGTCTTTGATATCTTCCCCCAATAAGCAAATATCACGAAAGCATACAATTACAAACATTTATTTGTTATCCTCCACCCCCCCCCCCCCTCCTAAAGAATTATGCGCCCCTTTTATGTTGCCCTCTCCGCCCCGCAAGGCTGGCTACGTCACTGCATAAGATGGTAGCATCACTCGCATCGTCAGCAAAAAACGTAAATTGGCCCGCTATATCAATGAGTGCCAAATTATTTTTATAGAGAAGGAACAACAGAGGCCCTAGTACTGAGCACTGAGCGCGACGCCAGAGCTCACATTAAGCATTTCCGACATCAGGTCTCCAAACAAAACAGTCTGCTGCCTACCTTCTATATACGGTCTAAACCAGTTGTTTGTTATTCCTCTAAAACCGTAGAGCTCTAGCTTCTGCAGCAAAATGTTATGGTCCACACAATCGAAAGCCTTCGACAGATCACAAAAAACCGCAGCTGCTGAATCGTGGTTATTCAATCTGAGATAGAGTGATTCCAACAATAAAAAAATAGCGTCTCCAGTGTTCAAACCAGCCTGAAAACCGAATTGAGCTCTGTTCAACACTTTATTACCTATATTCAATGAATGTTGTTATACGTTTCCTATCTTTTCAATAACTTGAGCCAATGTTGGACGTAGCGCGTTGGAACGGTAGTTTTCTGGCTCCTCAGCATCCCCTCCCTTATGAAGAGAAACAACGATTGCCAATTTCAGAAAAGGAGGAAATTCGCCTTTCTCAAATGAAAGGTCTATACTCTCAGAAAATGTCAATAAAGCATCATCAGGAAGACTACGAAGTATTCTGATAGACATACCATCCCAGCCAGATGCATTTGACTTCCTAATATTTGAGAAGATTCTCCGAAGCTCAGTCATATCTGTGGAGATCATAAAGAATGTATTAGGATAATGTCTAAAATCATGAGAGGGGGACAACTGATCAGAAATTTTGGAAGCAATGGAGAAGTAATAAGTGTTAAGCTTGTTAGATGATAAAGATGATAAACTAGAGTCAGCCATATTGGAGTTGTATTTGCCTCTCAATTCATTTTCAATTCGCCAGGCCTCCTTCTCTGACTATGGTTACTTTCCGAAAGCCATATTAATACACCACTATAATACACTTGCTTTCCCAGTTTAATCACTTGTCTATATATTGATCTATATCTATTGAAAAACGAAACAAAGAACAAATTATCCATGTGATACTTTCTTAAGTAGTGTAGGCAGCGCATATTGCCACTAGAAAACTTAAGGCCTTTAGTTATCTGGGTTTTTTTTTCTTATTTTTTAAAGTTTTTATTGGAAAAGATGTGTTGAAACAATTTGCAAGAACTGTATGAAAAGTATGTAGCGGATTTGCAGAATGCAAAGGATCAGCCCAGTTAATTGCTGTGCTACTTTGTACAAATCTTTGAAAATTTTTCCTTGTAAACAATCTTCTTTTTCTTAGCGTTTTAGAACTCATAATCAGATAAACCATATACCATAGCAGTCACAAATCCGAATAAGGTCGCTGAGTGCGAAGTTATTCTGGTAGGAGCTTCAACGAACATATTCAGACCAAAACTCTGCAAGAAGCCACCCCGCCCTCGAACATGCCTATCAGATACATCCAGGAAATTCAAATTCAAGTCCCCACACAGCAAGATTGTAACCTTAAGAGGCAACTGTGACAACAGTGTTTCAGCTTTTGACAAAAAGTCATCCTTATCGCCTGCTGGGGATCTGTACAAACACAAAATATAGAAATTCCAACCAACCTGAGCAACATACCAATGAAAATTAAAAGATTTTTTCTTCCAGAAGCTGATCATATAGATCTTATAGATACTCATTTCTTCGAATTCTTCTTTCCAAAATCAGAAAAAAGAACACAAAAAACTTACAATGTTGGTATGTATTTCATATTTTCTCGTGTAGGTATAGAGTCTCTGTATCTATAGGATCGAATGCTGCTCAAGATAGACAATAATTTCAAACCCGCTGACATCCTGCATCATCCAACCTGTGGTGAATCTAAGTAAGAAAAGTGCAAGGTCCTTAATTTTATTAATAACAAGAAATAAAAAACGTTAGTGGTTGGTTTGAAAATACATATATGTTTTCGCATAAATTTACAATACACAAAATATAAGTTTTTAAAAGATAAAACTAGCTGTCAATTTAAAATATTAAATCCACAAAATTATTTTTTTTAAAATAAGTACTTATAGAATCGTAAAATCGCGTGTAAAATATAATATAAGAATAAGATAACAATAACAAAATTACAATAAAACTTAATATGAGAAAAAAAAGGAATAAAAGTAAAATTTTTAAAAAAGCATACAATAGACAGAATTAACAATTTTTATAAAATATCACAATCTTGAAAAGGGTAATTTAAGGTTCTTGTTTGAGGTGCAAATTTGATGTATCTTGCAATAGTTCATGAATGCCTTCAGGTATCTTTCCCTCGTCAATATCCCGAGAAAGTTGAACGTACTGAAAAACATATTATTTAATTTGTGTCGATCATGTTAAGTATGCATTTCATCATCAGAGTTAGAGGAGACAGTTTATCAGCGATAGTTACATTTATGTGTTTCCCAAGCTCAAGTAGTGACACTTTATAGATATGAACAGAAGGGGAAATGTAAGAAAATTCCTGGTTGAAATAGATGAGAACTTAAAGTTCAAGTATCCAATGTCAGAAACCCAGTAAAAAATAGAGCAGAAGAACTCCAGGGGGTCCATGTCTTCAGCAATTAATGGGTGGATAGATCCAAAGAAGAAAAGAAAATTAATTGCATGCTGCACACACTGCCTGCTTCTTTCATGGATTAACACGTTTTGTGCCACACACGCGTTTGCGCGTTTGACTGGGCTTGTAGCTAATGCTCCCGACGCGCTCACGCGTTCTTTAATTAGGTATTCATTATACACGGTGAAAATAGTTATACCAGCAGTACATAAAACATTTACCAGTATCAGTGAATAGGAAGAAAGACCAAAATCTAATATTTGGACGACAAAGAACTTTGCAAAATTGACAAGAAACCTAGTAAGTTATTGGAGTATTTAAGGCAGTACCCCAGTTATTTGCACAAATCTAAATTATATTGACTAAAGTAGGTATATTTTCCTACCAGTTTAGCATAATGTTATATTTTAGATTCGTTATGTTCAATCCAAGGAAGAATTACTGAGATAATGTGAAATTATTGGAAATACTAACTAGACTTAACTCACATTATCTCTGATTGAAAATTTGCTGCCTTTACAAGTTCCTATTTTTTTTCCAGAAGACAAAATTCATGGTTGTTTTTTCCATTATGTTAAGGACACATCTGAAGATTCGCTAGCCAAGGTAACAATGGGAAACCTCCAATATTTCTCTGGAATATATTGTGGAATTTATATGAAAGGGCTCTGGGAAAGTTCCAACGCAGCTAACGAGTCTTCAAAAAAAAACTAAATCAAAGAGTGCTTTGATTACAAAAACGTACGTCGCGTCGGTTTTCATGGTAAATATCAAAGTAGCGAATGAAAAAAAAAAAAAATTCAGTTTCTCGGTTACAACAAATTTTTATCTAGTGGAGCTTGTCACAGGATTTTGAGAAAATAAATGCATTGTTATCCATACCGACTGTTATTATAGGCTCTTCTAAGAGCTTTATATGTGTTTCCTACTTGTTTTCGTTTATGACATCAGTCAAATGACAAATCGACATCCCATGAGATCGTCTTGCATCTTTCATCTTTTTTCCTTTTGATGAGAAGAACAGAAAAAAACAATACAGCATCTCTTTACCATGACATTGCAAAATTATAGGGAAATATTGTCAAGACATAGGTTCAAAAAATCATAACCATTCTTGATTTAAGTTTTTTTTTTGCAGATCCGTTCCAAAAATCAAAAGAAGACTCAAAATGAGATTTTGAAGAACCACCTCAATATTTGAAAATAAATGATTGCCCTTGAAAATATCAAAAAGAAAGATAAACTGATGACTACTTATGAGGACAGCATCTCGAAATTACACAATTGATCATTTACATATATAGAAAATATTACTGCAATTTCATACAGAGAAAGAGGTGGGCCAAAAAAAAATGGTTTTCTCGATCATTTCCTTGTAAAATCAGGTATTTCGTGGACATATCAAAAACGATCAATCCTCAGCAGGAGAACCGTCTCATGAGTTTTGATGTAGAAAATCTATACACAAAACTACGAACCTCAGGCAATTAAGGAATCTAATCAGAAAAAAAGAAAAACGACACAGATGACACCTAACGGAAAGAACTAACGTACCAGTAGAAGCTTATTGGCCTGTTGAATTGTTATCTAGATAATTCCTCAGAAAGATGAACTACCTATGGGCTTAACACTCTCAGAAACCTGTCAAAACCAGCTTGAGCCGAAATTGTGGTTAATGCCGGTTTTCCACCAAACGGACTGTTGAGTTTGTGTTTTAAAACATGTTTTAAAACTCGAAATTAACCCGAAAAACAAAACTCCACTTGTCGCAAAACACGCTACCTAATCTTGAAAATGTTTGGGAAAAGTTACAGTTTTGTCGGAGTTTAAGTTCTGTTTTTGTTTTGTCGGTTTGCTGGAAAACCGGCATAAGGCATGTTGGAGAGAATTTGTAAACTAATTCTAAGCAATGTTCTGAACGAAGCAGTACATATCACTGTATCTTGTCTGCATAGGACTTAAAGGGACAGTTCAAAAACTAAACTAGCAATCGATTTATTAAAAGAAAAAATATATAAATATATAAGTATATATGTTTTTTTTTTTCAAATTTATTATATGTAAATTCCTAATACTACTTACTTTTTCAAGTTCTTTTCTGAGTGCAAAAACGGCTTTTTCTCTATCGGCCACAAGCTCTTCAAGGTATTGGTATCTTAGCTTCTTGCGGGCTCTACATTCTCTGGCGCTTTGACGACTGCGTTCTGAATAAATAAATAAATAGTTTATGTTAGTGGCATAGTAGATAGAATGGATAATTAAAAGTTTACGAAAGGTTTGGACTCGACTAGGGTTCGAACCTATGAGTTCTAGGGAGCTTACCAAACGAACGCTATACCAACTGAGCTACCAATGCCACCGGTACATTTCTACTCAATCGTCAAATATCTCGTCAACTTTTAACGTGTCTTTATTTTTATTTTATTTATTTATCAACGGGCTTTACCCACAATTTTACAAAGCAAAAATTTATTTTACAAAATAGAACTACATTCCCAATTTCAACACATCTCTCCCCTTTCCTTTCCCGTTCCAATCTTATATAAGATAAAAATAAAAATAAGAATAAAATAGAAGTATAAATAAAAACAAGAATAAAAATATAAACAATAACAAAAATAAAAACAAAAATAAAATAAAGTAAAAGTAAGAGTAAGAAGCAGTAACACCTAAATACTCAAAGTACAAAAATCCCAAAATTCCCATTCACATTCCTCTCTAAAAGCTTAACACTAATCAGACTATTTAGTTAATCACATTACGTCTTAACAGGCTCACAAAACTATCAATACTGACATCAAAAAACTCCAAGTAATCTGAATGACAGTTAGCCATTCGTACCACCATTGGCATGAATTAATTAAAACCAGTATTAGTACGCCTAAAAGCCTGCTGGAATGTGTAGGAAGCTCTTGTGTTTCTAGGTCGGACCGCGAGCAGCACAGAAGAAACCAAAGTGGGACAGTCAACCACATAGTCGATAACTCAGTTGATAACCGTGAAGAAAAATTTAATGTCAACATGATCCCTTCTAACCTTCAATGCTGGCAATCCAAATCTCACTTGAAGTAAATTTAAATCATAGGTGTATTCATCAATGAAATTGGTGGAATGCCTGATTTGTAAGCCAGATATCTCAGTAGCTTCCTCTGCACTTGTTCCAGTCTATGAATATGACATGCAAATGAGGGCTCCAAACCTACGAACAATACTTCAATAATAGCCTGACAAGGGCACAGTATAGCAGACGAAAAGCGGACACATCTCTAGAAACCATGGTATCAATGTGGTTGACAAAGGATAGTGTGGAGTCTATGTTATCTCCAAGATCACAAATGACTGAGACCTTAGACAATGGCGCCATTTTTATGCTATAGGCAAATTCTGCCCCTGGCGTTTTTTAGTGAAGCCTATGGATTGGAATTTAGCAATATTCAACTCTATTGCATTCCGATCACACCACTTATCGAGTCTCTCCAGGTCTGACTGAAGCTTGAGACAATCATCCAATGAAGAAATTGCAAGGTAGCACTTCAAATCATCAGCAAAACACAGAAATTCAGCGAATTCAAAACAATCTGCAAAGTCATTAACAAACATTATGAACAGTGAGGGGCCCAAGTGGGATCCCTGGGGAACCCCAGGAGGATTAGGAATATTTTTAGAAGTGTAGTTATTCACCTTGACTACCTGGTATCTATCCGTGAGGTAGCTAGCCAAACATTCCAACAAGGTCCCCTGAATACCAGCTGCTCCCAACTTATCAATCAACACACATGATTGATCCTGTCAAACGCCTTGGAAAAGTCTGTGTATACAGCATGAACCTCTCCACCCCCGTCCAAGACGCCCGACAGATTGTCAACAAAGGTCACCAAATTCAACTCAGTAGATCTCCCAATGACAAAGCCAATCTGCTCATCGATAATTGTCCGACATAAATCAGCCAGTATTTGGATGTGGACATTCAACCATTAATTCCAGCATATTTTATTGATTTTTAAAGTTAATTTTTGTCTTTAAACAAAAATGCATCAACGCAACGGCCTGACCGGGATTCCAAGAAATTGGGTACTTGTTTAGTCGGCCAGCCTGCTTTTCCTGGGAATCCTATTATATTAGATGTGAGATAATTAGTATTATTGCTTTAGTTCTAGTTTAGTTAGTAGTTATTGAATGTGTTATGTAGTACATGGTGGCAACATAAGAGCACCAGGTCTGATGTCAACCAGTTTTGTAAAACGTCAGAGATTAGATCCACGTTGTCAAATACTTAATTGCTCGTCTATTATTTCTATTAGTTGTGCTCTATCCTGAAATCACCAGGATATGACATGGTATCAGGTAGTAGACATCTCGGGCAATCTCGTGGCGTGCTTTAGTTGGTAAGAAATACTTAATTTTGTAAAAAATAGTGCGCTTGTTGCACCCTAGAAACTAGTGATCAGTATTGCGCTCGTTGCACCCCATAGTAGACGATCTTCACTTAATATTACCGTACGTATTGCACCATAGAAGTTTTAAGAAAAAATTTTCGTCGCTAATTCTAGAAAATTGTTGAATTGGTCTAGGAAAAATGGATAGTTTGTTCCGCCCACCAGAACAACTTAGTTTAGACTGTAATGTAGCTGAAAGTTGGAAGCGGTTTGAACAGAAATTCGAAGTTTTCTTAACTGTGACTGGGTTGAAGATTAGAGATGAGGAAATTCAAATAGCTGTGTTTCTAAATCTCATTGGAGACGATGGCCTTGAGTTACATAATAGTTTTTCGTATACAGATGCAGAGAAAAAATCGTTAAAATTAATATTACAAAAATTTGAAAACTATTGCTCGCCACAAGCCAACATTATCTTTGAGCGATTTAAATTTAATGGCATTGTGCAAAAAGAAGGCCAGTTATTTGACAGTTTTCTGACAGAGCTAAGAAAAGCTGTAATAATTACAAGCTACAAAGGTCGAAGATGACATGGTTAGAGATAGAATTGTGATAGGCGTTGCGGACAAAAATACTCAGGAAAGGCTCTTGAGAGAGAGTAAGCTTGACTTGATTAAAGCTATAGAAATGTGTCGTGTCTCTGTGATCTCTGTGAGATTAGCAAAACCAAGTTAAAGTGCTACAAAGCGAAGCTTCAGTTAGCGCGATAAATAGAGATAGAGTGCATTCTAGTTTTTCGTCGTCGTCGTCGTCGTCTAAATCCACTGGAGTACCACAGTCTTCAATCATGTGCAAGTTTTGTGGATACAAACACTTGAAAAATGGTAAATGTCTAGCCTGGGGAAAAACTTGTGCAAAATGCCAGAACAGGAATCATTTTGCAGCTGTGTGTACAAATGGAGATAAGTCGCTCATGAAAATAAAAGAAAATAGAAAATCTGGAAAAAGCTTGAAGAAAAAAGTGCATGATGTAGAGAAGAATGAATCTAATGAAAGTAGTGATGAATCAGAAAGTAGTGATGGGCAATTTTATGTAAATTCAGTTAAAATAATTAATTCATTGAAGAAGAAAGTGCAAAAATCTAATTCACAAGAGAAAGTTTGGAAGCAAAAAGTTAACATAGGACATAGGTCAAGGGCAAGTATATTTTAAACTTGATACTGGAGCAGAGGTGAGTGTTTTACCATTGCATATTTTGGAAAAGTTAAATTTTGTTAATGACTTGAAGTCCACAAAAAATACTTTAATTTCATATGGTAGCGAAAGCTTCAAGATCAAAACCCTTGGAGAGGTCAGTTTGCTGTGCAGAGTCAGTGGCATTGAGTCGCTAGTTGATTCCATTGTTGTTGATGCTGAGGACCAACTGCCTTTACTTGGGTTACCGGGCTGGAACTCTGTAACGGATAGAGAGCGTTATCCCTATCGCTATGGCACTAGCTGTCTTCTTCTCTCTTGTCGAAATCAATAGAGAGGAGACGTCACTAGAGATAAAGAAAATATCTCCATTCGTTACAGAGTCCCAGCCCACGTTGTTTATCTCTAAGTTTATTAAAACGTTTAGCGTCGATTAGTAAGGGAGCAAATGTATCTTTCAAATCTTTAGAGAGTGTCATTAAAGCTTATAAATCTTGTTTTGATGACCTGGGGGAGTTTTCCACAAGCCACCATATAACCTTGAAAAATGACGCAATTCCGCATGTTCAGCCTCCCAGAAGGGTTCCTAAAACACTCCATGGCAGATTAAAATGCAAGTTAGAACAACTCGAAGCACAAGGTGTAATTGAAAAAATTGAACGTCCTACTAAGTGGCTGAACCCGCTAATAATTGTCGAGAAAAAAATCATGACTTGCGACTTTGCTTAGACCCTAAATATTTTAATAATGCGATACAACGCGAACATTTTTTGATACCTACAGCTGAAGAAATTTCTGTCAAATTGTGTGACAAAAAATACTTTACAGTTCTTGACATGAAAGATGGTTATTTCCAAGTGAAAATTGATGACCAGAGCGCGGATTATACAACATTTGGTACGCCTTTTGGGCGTTATAGATTTCTTAGGTTGCCTTTTGGAATTTGTTCTGCGCCTGAAGTCTTCCAAAGAAAGAATTTTGAAATATTTGGTGACCTTGGAGGAGTGGGCCTTTACTTTGATGATTTAATTATAACTGGCAGTGATGAGCTTGACCATGACAGAAATCTTCAGTTAGTTCTAGAACGTGCTTTAAAATACAACATCAAATTCAATAGTTCAAAAATTCAATTTAAAGCAGAATCTGTCAAGTTCATGGGTCAAATTTATTCTAAAAATGGTGTGTAACCCAACAAAAACTATGTATAAAAGCTATAATAGATTTGCCAACTCCGACTGATAAAAATGGAGTTTTAAGAATTTTGGGAATCGCCAAGTTTTTGGGCAAATTTCTACCTAACTTGTCTAAAGTTACTATGCCTCTCCGGGAGTTGACAAAGCAAGATGCCACATTCCACTGGTCTACCGAACAAGAGTAGTCACTTTCTCAACTTAAGCGTTTCTTAACAACTGCCCCTGTACTGAAATTTTTTAAATCCTCAAAAGATGTGGAAATTGAAACCGATGCTTGAAAAGACGGTCTGGGTGCGTCCTTATTACAAAAAGGGCATCCAATTGCATTTGATTCAAGAAGCTTAACACCAACAGAACAGAAATATGCTCAAATTGAGAAAGAGATGCTGGCCATTGTATTTGCAATTCAAAAATTTCACTTTCTCATTTGCGGTCTAAGAAATGTTAAAATTGACTCTGATCACAAGCCTTTGGAGTCTATAATGAAAAAAGATTTTGCTTCAATAACACCTCGCTTGCAAAGAATGCGATTAAGGCTCTTAAATTATGATGTACATGTTACTTACAAGCCTTGCAAGTACCTGTATATCGGTGATACATTATCAAGAGCGTTTTTATCGGAATCAGGTTTAAAAAGTGATAGGGAATTTAACTTTGCAATTCATTCAGTAATAAAAAATATGTCAATGTCAGATGAGCGAAAACAGCAATTTAGAGTGGAAACCAAAAATGACCTACAACTTAAAATATTAATAGATTACTGCTTAAATGGGTGGCCAGAAAATAAACAGCAACTGCCAGATTTTATTCAACATTATTTTGAAATCAAGGATAATTTAACTTTCGCAGATGGGTTGTTATTATGTTCTAAATAAATTGTTGTGCCTCTGTTTCTTCGGTTTGAAATGTTAGATCTTTTACATGAGGGTCATGTAGGAATCGAGAAATCTAAAGGGCGTGCGCGTGAAATATTTTACTGGCCGGGTATCGGTGAAGATATTGAAAATAAAAATAAATTATGCAAAATTTGTGAAACTAATTATCGGAAGCAACAGAAAGAATCATTAATTTTATATCCAATACCTGAAAGACCTTGGGAGAGGCTTGGCCTGGATATTTTTACGTTTTCTGGAAAAAGTTAACTGGTCATTTTTGATTCATACTCGAACTGGCTTGAGTTATGTAGTATAAAAGAAAAATAGATCAAATCTATTATAAATTCTTTTAAAAAGCCAAAAAGGTATTTAGTATTTTTGGCGCTCCAGATAGTGTAGTTTCAGACAATGTCCGGTTCAATAGTTTTGAATTCAGGAATTTTCCTAAAGCATGGAATTTCAATATTGTCACCAGAAGCCCGAATTACCCGCGTTCTAATGGCTTAGCCGAAAAAGGAGTAGACATTGGAAAAAATATTCTTAAAAAATGGTTGGAAAATAATGAAGATATTGAAATTGCCTTGCTTCAGTTTCGTAACTCAACATTAAAACATATAGGTTCTCCCTCCCAGTTGCTCATGAGCAGAATATGTAAAACCAAATCACCAATTAGTAGTGACTTGTTTAAACCAAAATTGTGTGACAATGTATTAAAAAAGTTGAAAAATAAGCATTGTATTCACAGCAAGTACTATAACAAAAACGCTAAAAATTTGAAACCTTTGAAACCTGATTGCGATGTCACTATTTATAATCATATTCAGACGCAATGGGAACCAGGTAAAGTCGTTAGTGAGCACAGGACTCCACGTTCTTACCTTGTTCAGAATGAATATAACAATGTAGTAAGGCGTAATCGAATTGATTTAAGGGAGTCTTTAAATAAATTTGTTCCGTCTTCAGAATATGATTTAGATGTAGAAATTACGCCAACTCAGAAGGAACATAACGATCAGCCGCAGATCCAAGTTCATTCACCTATTCAATTCAGCTCTAAAGCTGGAGATATTCCTTTGGAATCATCTTTTGTCATGTCTGATGATAATTTTAAAAAAACTAGGTCTGGTCGTATTTCCAAATCTCCTAGTAGGCTTAATCTTTAGGAGGAGAGATGTGAGATAATTAGTATCATTGCTTTAGTTCTAGTCTGGTTAGTTATTGAATGTGTTATGTAGTACATGGTGGCAACATCAGGACACCAGGCCTGATGTCAACCAGTTTTGTAAAACGTCAGAGATTAAATCCACGTTGTCAAATAATTGCTCGTCTATTATTTCTATTAGTTGTGCTCTATCCTGAAATCACCAGGATATGATAATAGATTCGATGTTTTTCTAGCTAGATCCCGAGTCCGATTTCGACTATAAATAGCGCGTAGTAAGTAAACTTTGGTAGTAATAAGTTTGAAGTCAGTTTTAATTCGAATTTGTTGTGTACGTGTGAATAAGTGATAAGTGAATTTTATATAAAATAAATTAGTTTAATAAAAGTTGTTACTGGTTGTGAAGTGAGTTTTAGTAAACCCATGAAGCCGTGATAATATTTATAAGCAAAATCGGTCGTGGCATAGCAAACAGAATAAAAATTTGAAGAAAAATTTGGACTGTACTAGGATTTGAACCTGTAGCACGTTAACTGCGATCTATAGAACCGAAAACGTCGTTTCCAAATCCGCTGCTGCGGTTTATAAGAAAATCCGCTGCTGCGGTTTATAAGAAAATCCGCTGCTGCGGTTTATAAGACCGAGACCAAGGTATCTCCCGTCGCTAACACGGTCTATTGGACCGAGCCTAATTTTTTAGCTTGTAACCCCAAGCGGGTATATTCAGGTAACTTTACAGGTACAAAACGACCGAGCCGACGATAAAGGATAGTTGGAACATACCAGTTTTCGATATTTTTTTCTATTAGGTATTATAGGTCTATAATTTGAAGAAAATTAATATTTTTACACCGCCTCGGTCCATGAGACCGAGTGACGCGTTAAAATTTTGTCATTGAAATGGCCGTCACAAAAAAAAATGTGCAAATAGGCATTGCTAGTACTAAAAGTTATATCCTGGGACAAGTACGCTCTAACAACCACTGAGCTACCGAAGCCTTTGGTTTATTTCTGCCCAATCGATCAGATGTTCTGTCTGCTATGTCACGAGCGATTTCCTTTATGAATATATTACGAACAAAGGCAAGAAGGATGAACCAAAATCTTACCGACCCATCAGGCTAACGTCGATAAAATCGCTCAAACATCGCTATCGACATAGAGGAGGTATTCGACAACACCTCATACTGATCCATCAAAATAGCTCTTCAGGAAAGGGGGGTATAGAAGCTCCAATTATAGGATAGACCGAGGCAATGCTAAATCACGGCCCACTATCGGCGGATATAAACGGGGCAACTGTTACCGCATAACCACGATTGAAGGCTGCATGCAAGGGGGAAAGATACCCCCTTCCCCTTTTATTGTGGACGCTAGTAGCAGGGAACATATGGGTCCCACCAAGGAAAACCGCATTCACGGTCTTAGGTTACGCAGATTGATTGGGGGTAATTATAAAAGAAAAGCATCACCCGGGACCACAAACTCACACGGAAGAGCAATCTGAACAAAATAATTTCACGAGCTAGGACGGCTATTTGGACATGCCGCAAACTTGTGAGAAAAACATGGGTGCTAAAATCAAAACGCCTACCATATTTCGAGCCGAAGTGCTTGCTATAAATACCGCTGCCCAAGAGTGCCTTACAAGATGCCTCAAAATCGCATTCTCAGATAGCCAAGCAGTTCTAAAAGCTCTAGAAGCTAGCAAGTACACATCAGCTGGTTTGGGAAGGCAAAAAGATCTTCAAGCCAGTGGCTGCACGAACCGGAGTCACCCTAGAGTAGATACCAAAACATCAAGGGATGGATGGCAACGAGAAAGTAGTTTTTATCGCAAACCAAAGGGCTACAACACTTTTCCAAGACCCAGAGCCATTCATTCGACTAATGAAGAGCCACCTCATAGAAAAATTAAACACATGGGAGAAGAACTAAATGATAACTCACTGGAGATCCACTCGGTGTCTGAGACAGACAGAAGGGTTCTATGCATTTCAGCGAAAGGATCTAGACATCAGAACAGTCGTCGGCCTTCCCACTGGGCATTGTTCAATCAAATATCACCCTAAAACGATTGGCAAATCAGAGAATGACTTTTCAGAGAGGCTATAGAAATCGAGAAAAAAAAAACCAATGAGTAGAAATAAGTGAAATAAGGCATCAAATTCAGCAACATATGGTCTCTAACCTTGAAGAAGGCCACTCGCTGAGTAGCACCAAATCTCCACCACCAGCGCCTCTATAAAAGAGAAGACCAGCATCAGCGCCATCAGCCTGCAGTGAGACATTTTGGGAGAATACATCCTCCGTTGTCTCATCGCCTTTAATAATGCCTCCAACTGCGATACGCGAAAGTTCATGTAATACCTACTCCCGGCCCAAGGTTCCTAAAGTTAATAGGTTGTCTGGTAATGGCTTACTTGATGACGCATCTGGGGTACCTTATGGAGATTTGCATTATGTTGACGCACCCCAGATGACGTCATAGAGTTATCAGGCAACCTACCTCTGTCAAACAACCTTGCTCCCGGCCGTGAAATTCGAGAAAATCTTATTTTCTTTGATAAACCAAATATTTTGTTTCACATTTTTAGAACTTGTCATATTATATATTGGTTAATTTACTATGAAAATATATACCTGTAACAGAAAAAGAAAACAGTAGAAAACGTAAATAACGCTTACCTAGTTTCGCTTTCATGTCAACTTTGTCAGCGGATTTGCGCCCCGGCTTACGTCCTCTCTTGCCTGACTCCCTACGTTGTGGTCCCTCCTGCAAATTACAACTAAGAGTTATGGCAAGTTTACATTGTTACTGTGCTGCTATTATCTACAGAATAGGTGAGCTCTTCTAGTAACTCGAAAGAACAATAAAACGACACTCTAACAAACAGCGAGGAATATGCTGGGGCGTAACGTCAAGGACGTCCCACCATTTTTAAGGTCACTTACTGCAGTGTATTTTTATAGTGACATTTTTATTGTGAACATGTTTTTTGATGAAAAAGTAGTTTAAATCAACATTCTCTCGTACTTCAAAAGTTTAATTAACATCAATGTTGTAGTCAATATTCTATCAGCAGGGATAGTGAGACGTTAACATGAAATAAACCAAATCTCACACTACTTTATTTATTGGAAAGTATCTAAGTAACAAAATAAATAAAACGGCAGCACATTGGTTCCTATAATTATTATTCTAAATTATAACTTGGAATGTGAATTTTATCATAAATGAAACATGGGGGTTAAAAACCAAAATTAATTCTATCTCCTATGGATTTTTTGGAGGACAGATTTTCTAAATCGTAGAGTTCCTACATCTTGGAATTTTTTGCTAGATGCACTTTTGCGATACCTCTACGATTAACAAATAATTATTGTTTAAAGTTTCAGTCTGATTTATTGATTACCTAAGCTATAATAAAAATCAAGTAAGTATGTGTTGATTTATCATAAGTGCATTAAGTATAAGTAACGTTTACAAGCAACTGCCTGACCTTCCCCACGAACTGCGAAGTTACGCGATCCCAGACCCTGAAACGATAAAAAACAAAACGATTGAAAAATATATTATGTATTGATGCAAAAATTTTACTTTAATGCAAATGTCATTATGACTTAACAAATACTCTTGTACAAGTCTGAAAAATTGATCTCTGATCTGAACTGAGTGCAATAATTACTAAATTCAGGTGGGTTAAGATATTTAAGTTATCTACATGTTGGCTAAGCCTAATTAATTGTTCGCAAGAAGCCTAATATAAAACGAACCAAAAGTTGATATTTCTGGAAAAAGCTTTTTTAAAGCCTGTTGTCAATGAGTTGCGTTTAAATTTTGAATCGCCAGTGTTTGTAGGTTATTTATAACCCAGCGTTAGCACCTTAGATTAAATAATCTAACGCATATACACATAAATATAACCAGCTCCAAAATGTCTCCGATGCATCTCTCCAACACTTGTGTTCGTAATTGTGGGAGTAAGCATCTGAAATTAAAACCAAAACCGTAAATAATAACACTGCCAAGCCACTGAACATAGGGTTATCTTCTCATTTTGAGAGAGCCGTAACGATGCAAAAAAACACCGAATTGTAAACATTGAAACAGACGCTAACGGCATTGGGTATTCCGCGCACCTAATAAATAGAATCGAAAATCTAGAAAAGTACAAAAGATAAGACGAAGAGCAATAAAGACAACCAACACTCATCATTCCATATTACGTCAAAGGTTTGTGGAAGAAGATATACCGAATGGGAAGAAAATGCAATATTCGAATATGTATCCACGAAGATATCACCAGATTTTCTTCTGCTTTTGGACAACACCTCAAAGCATCTAACCACAATTTCAGCCCCCAATTCCAATTCCAGGATTTTACACAATATATATCTTCCAAAAATTTCGACTTCATGGAGGCCATCTAGGTGAACAAAAAGACTTTATTTGTTAATTGAATCAAACTTAAGGAAATCCGGAGAGCTCATGATACCTAAATTGTTGTTTTATTGCTAACTTATCCATATTGCGAAATTTGTTTTTACATATTACCATTAGTGAATTTCTAATTTCTCAGTCGAGCTGTGCTGACCCAGAAGCCTCCGCATGTGTAATGGATAATTCCGTAAAAATAACGTTATAATATAACAATTAACGGACATACTACATAAGACGACCCGTTTGTATTAGTATTGAACAAATATTGATAGGCAATTACTCGGGCAATTATATAAGCGGATATAAAGACAAAACAAAAATAATAGCTTCCAAAACTTGTCAATTCCAAGCAACATTTAATAATAAAATTAATGAGAAATGCGAAGATCCTGGGGTGCGTTCAAGGACGGCAATGCTAATGCCAAAACCTACTTTTCCCCCTCCACCTGTAATGCCGAACCACGTAGGTTGGAGCCGAACTCGAACGCAAAGTGCCAGTTTTGGCTTGGCTATAGCCATTCCTGAACGCAGCCCTGAAATCATTCAACCCGATGGAAATGCTCACGTTGAAAAACATCTGAGACAAAAACACATCGATAAATTTACGCGACCCATCATGTTAATTCGCGCGAATAAAGCATGCAAAATTGCAACAGCTGAGTCCCACGAAAAAATACACCTTAGTAACAGAAGATGACCTTTAGGAAAAAGATACAGCTTCGCTAACCAGTGTCTAGCGCCTTCCAATTAAAACTCGGATTCGAACAAAAAAATAACCGTGGGAGAAATAACGGATAACCCGGCAAAATTCTATTGAAATTGGGAAAATGCAAAGGTGCATTAATACCTCAAGTAACTCATCAATTAATTTTACGATTTAAATCCAATAATTTTAAGAATCAATGAGCTTCACTCGAAATCTTCAAAGGACCCCGCAATATACAGGGTGTTATACATCGATAGAAAGTTTTCAATGAGTGATAGTTGGGGTAATTCGGAAGCTGTTTGACCATCTTTACCCTTATGCAAACTTTTTGAGATTCAGCATTTTTAGATATTTTTATTTGAATTGCTCCTAAAACATAATATTGTTTTTTGGTAGTAACCACTTTAGCCTTTCTCAATTTATTTTCCGATATTCCTCCCAAAAAATATGTTACCCAAGTTATGTGTTCAAGTTCATGGATTCAAAATATCTAAAAATGGCGATATCTCAAAAAACAGCGAAACTTTGCATGAGGGTAAATATGGGCAAACAGCTTCCAAATGTCCCCAACTATCACTCATTGAAAACTTTCTATCGATGTAGTGAACACCCTGTATAAATGAGAATTGGTTACGCGTGTTATTTGGATAAAATTTAATTATGATATTTGGGATGCCGTAAGCAACATTTTTTATCATGAGCGCAACCTTGTATATATGACAGGTGGGTGTTAGCTGTCAAATATTGGAATCTAATATCCAAAAGCAGAGTAACTATGGCAGATTTTGATGAACGAAATATCGATCCTTACAGAGTCGACCAAGGTAAATCGAAAAATGTCAACCATTTTGACACCTGCCAACACAACAAATGTTACGAGTTTCAACTCGACGAATCCACATGAGCTAGACAAAGATACATATCGATTCACGTCGGACCCGAGATAAAATAGGAATGAAAGTACAAAGTTTCTGCGTCGTAGTACAATACTTTAATTCGACGCAGTCCATGTTTTGGAATGATTTCCTAATGAGCAATTCGGCATTCTCGCATTTTTGGGAGTATGTGCAATGCCTGCGTTTTCGCAGCAGTTTAGGAATTCGATTTTCAAATCATATCCCTCTGATAAACTGTCAGGTATGCAATCTGGCGGATAAAAACGCAATCTGTAATCCCATTGGTCGGCCAGTTATCCGCCGACCAATAGAATTATAGAACGGTAAATTTATCTTGCGCAAGATAGTTACCAGCAAGTTTATCTGAAGATGAATAAATCGGGCCTAAATAAGAACAGCTTAAATTGTAAGCTAAAGTATAAATAAATTAATTTAATTATAGTGAAATACCCTGTACTATTGAAGAAAATATATTTTTTTGAAATGTGTGAAATGCAGGAGAAAGTTCACAGGCTAAGATGGAGAGAGAAGACAGAGAAGCCATTGTGCACAATGGCCAGATATCATTGAAGGCGTTGTGATATTTTCTAAATAGTTGGATACTATCGGATCAGATGCTATTATGTTCGCTAGTAAATTATTTGTAACAGACACAACTTGATAAGATGATGATCAGATGCAAGATTCTGAAAACTCAAGAATGTGACTAGCAGAGGATGATTAAGTGAGTCAAAGGCCTCACTATAGTCTAACCGAACTATGTATATAGACATTTTATTTTTATCTGCAACAATTTATGTTACTGTTGTTCCAACTACGTAACTTACCGTAACTTAGTTGATTTGGAAAAAAAAAAGATAAAAATTATATACCGAGAATGTTTTTCTCTCTATAGCTTTCGTATGAAACTTTATCAACAAATTATCAGTTTTTAAAATATAGCGATTTCAATCCTTAAGTAATTTTTTTTTGGGGGATTGGATTATTAAAATTCGTTCTGAATCATATTCGCAACGTAAGATCAAAAACTGTATAAATCTTGATACTACAGTTGACTATACTTAGGTATATGTAGTCTAAATAACAATATAGGTCGATTGATTTTTTTTTAATCCATTTATTCATTTATTATGACTACACATAAAAAATAATTATCTTCTCCAAAATCAATATCTAATAGTTTCCAAAATAGGCATTTTACCCAGATGAGGCTAAAGTCGATCAGCTTAGTTTCTATGATTTATATGCAGATGGCAGTTAATATTTGGTGTTTATTATCTGATTTGATAATACAAGAAGAATTTGTCTCTGATTATTTATTGTCTAATTGAACACTATTAGAAAACAAAGATGGCAAATTCGAGGAAAGTTAACTAGAAAAAAAAATATATAAATTCGAAAATATGTAGTTAATATTATTTCAACATCTATCTATTTTCATTAAAATATTCACATGTGGCATAATAAATCGTTTTTGATGGTAGTAAGATATTTTTCAGTTATGGAGGCCTCCTTTTCAAAAGTAATATTATAATATTTTAATACTTTCTAATTTTTAATTTCATTTTCCTATTTTTAGAGATCGACGACCACTTGAACTGGCAAACTGCATGAGCTATTAGAATAATTATTCTCAGGAAAATTCTATAACAATATTTCCACCAGAAAACACTAACGGCGAGATTATTTATGACGTTTCCTGAGAAGAAGATAACGCAGTTATTGAAAAT